TTATTCCTCCCGTTCTGATGACAATGTTAATTTAGTTTCCAATCAAACGAATAAACAAATAGGAAAGTTAATGTTTCCTCGTATACAAATTATAGTTTCAAACTTTCCTATCAAACAAAGCTTCCATTCAAAACGATAATGCTGGCGTTTACTTAATTCTACCGTGTTTTAACAACTAAAATACCGTGTTTGTGATTGAATAGTTGCATGTCGGCGGGTATTAAAGTCGTGTCGTGGTTAGAAGCACTAACCCCGACTTAATTTCTTCACAAATGACTAAGAAATCACGGTTAGTTCGACAGCCGTGTACCGTAAATCGATTTTCGTTTATCACCCTTGTTTATTTAAGTAAATGGTTCGTCGCAGTAATTCTTTGTTGGCATTTTCTATCATACCTGACATTAATATTAATAGATTTTTGTGATTAATGCCCTTTCTATTATTATGAAGTAAAGAGGGTAGGTTTTTTTTTGTCTTCTCAGTGACATTAATTATATACATATTTTAGAATAGAGTAAACTTAGAAAAAAATTGCGCAAGGTGGCTGGCAGGAGTTGGATGCGAGTAGCCCAAGATCGAACTGAGTGGCGTGCATTTGGAGAGGCCTATGTCCAACAGTGGACTAAGATCGGCTGTTGATGATGATGAAATTTAGGTTTTGGTATAAAAATACATAATTTCATTTGGGCTTATCCGAACTTCAAATTTTTTTATCGAGGGGCAACAAATTACCCTTCTCCACCAGATTTTAATTGTGAGACAATTCATGAAGATAGATGATGCGGCAGAAGGTGTGCTGTTTCAGTCATCCTTACCTTACCGGCAATCGGGTCCAGCCCGATCCTCTACCCCGAGGAGCCATGGAACCCTATTCACTAGAAGAAACACGATACCACCAAAAAATAGTGTTATTTTACTGAGGTCTTATGTAAGGCGGAGGTGGCTTCCCCAGACAGGCGTTCTAATTCGAGCGGACAATCCGCTGTGCCCCACCTTATGCAAGTGGATTTCACTCGATACACTTTGATAGAATTTCCTTTTTATAAAGTGTATTTAGGGCCTATCAATACAAAAGATATTGTCTATCTTAACTGTTTTCATGAACAGCACTTTTAACATTAATTTTAACCCTATTCGAACAAAAATTTGAAGTTTAACGTTCAATATTTCGCAAACGGATACCTACATCGAAAAAACGACGGGTTGCACCCCGGGAGTGCCGGCAGAAGTGAAAACTTGAATATTAACGTTGTGCATTTTTGATATTTTGGAATGGTTAGGGAATAATTTTGCACGAATTGCTTTAATTATCAGTAACACTTTATATACACGAATTTTACGAATACACAGCAGTGTGGCCACTACACAGACGGTCGAGCCATCAGCTGTCACCATCCATGGATGCGTGTGGCACGCTGTAACAAAAACACACACGCACATTCGCGCAAGCACCCTGCGCCGCATAAACGAAACAGCAGGCGCAGGCATATATTTTCGCCGCGCCGTAGAAAAAGAGGGGGATACTTCCTCTCCTTCGGCGCACCGGCTGTCTACTCTCCATCCATCTTACTAATTTTCGATCAGGTCACGTGTCCTGACGCGAGTTTAACATTTTTTACCCATTACAAAAAGTGTACAACGCCGCTAAAAAAGTTTTCACTTCAAAAATATATAGTCGAACACTCCTCCTTTTTTGAAGTCGGTTAAAAATACAGGACGCTTTAATAACATTAAATAAAGAAACATTCAGATCACAATCTATAAATTACAGCATTACCATATTATCGTTTTGATAGTAGCAGTCTTTAAATGCATTTAGTTATTTTCTGAATAGTGTTTTTTCTATAGTTTAGTTTTATTTTTTATTAAAATTCACTCATTACCTGTCACAGTACTTACGCATTTAAAAAGCGTTGCCGTTCACTACTTATATACTTTACAAATCAAAGCATAGCAATATTAATTTACTAGTAGCCGCCCCTGACTTCATCCGAGTTAACTTTAGATTGTTGAAAATCCCACAGGAACCTAATATTTTTCCGGCACAAAAAGTACCCTATGTCTCAATCCAGTTCATAAACTATATGCGCACGTTTGGTGCGCAACAAAACGGTATAATAACATCAAATTAAATTTTACAGGAGCAGTAAAAAACTGAATGACGTACAGTGAGCTTTTGGCGTAATTTTTAATTTAGTAATTTTAAAACTATTTTGGGCAATTTTCTTTGACATGAGTGGAAATTTAAATTCAGCTGGCCCAAAACCTCTGGGCTGTAAAAATAAAGTATTATAAATGGTCAAAACCATATACATAATTATACTGTTTTGTTCGCCAGCTCCTCATTTATAATATTAGTAGTATCACGTCGGGGTCACCAGATATGGGAAACCCTACGCGGAGATGGAATGAAACGAATAAAATTCGGTAAAACAGTCTATTGAAATTCCACAGTTTCCCACGTATATATAAAGACAAAAACAGAAGAAATCACGGGCACAGACACAAGCAGAAAAGATGGTAAAGGATAGAAAAGTTAATAGTTTAAGAACAAATAGGAAATTAAATAATTGCGATTGCGCGTAAGTCGGGGGCAGAGCGAGGACGGACATGTATTCGCCGCGGGATTGATAAATGCACTGGCCCGGCGCACGAAATATGAATGTGAGCTGCGCCGGCGCAGGAATGTGGAGAAAAAAAGATCGAGATAACAGAAACTGTCAAGTGCGAATCGTTTTGCTATAGTAGCGCGCGCACCCGTCCTCGCTAGTGCGAATTATTTAAGTGTTAAATTATTTTAATTACATAAATATTTTTAAAGCAAAATTTATCAGAACTGAAATTACAAAGGTAACAAAAATAAGAGAAAGTTAATTAATATAATAAATATACGCTACAGTAGGATAGGTCAAATTTTTCGTTTAAAATATTGTTACGTAAATGTCGAAAACATGTATTTAGATGTTATCAAGTTTTAATTACTCATTCGGATAAACATTAAAGGTCACGAATTCACATGAAACTTCTTAATTATCTTTCCTTTGTCTATCAGTCACGTTTAATAGCCTTGGCTCTGCCGCTCAGAATTTTGCTACAAAACAGAGCTAAAGAGTTTTATGCCAGCTTTGATTGTATTCGTTTGAAAACACGAAACGGTCGTAAAACTACTTCCAAAGATAAGAACGTTTTAAAGCAAATTAACTTAGGCCGCGTTGTTTGATACATAGTTATTTGGACATTGGGCAAAAATGTATGGACGCTGCACCCACGTCCGCCAAGGCTTAAACTACATTTGTTTGAAAGGTATTATAGTCATGATCATCTGTGCCAAAGCGCATCACATTCCATCTCGGGGGTCTTTAGTTATTTTAAGTTAAATAGGTACAAGTACTATAACGAACGAACATTAATGAAACGAGGGAATTATTTTAGTAAGTTAGTTAGTTTATTATGGGAGTACTTCAGAAAGTGCAAGGGTGCCCCCTTATGTTATTCTGCCCCACTAGGGTAAATCCAAAAATCCCCGCATGGGTTGGGGTTTTTTTAAACATTCTGTTCGTTATAGTAAATTGTCTTCTACGTATGTAAAACGGAGCGACCACAAATCACACAAACTTATCCACGCTTCGGAGAAAACATGATTCCAGTTCATCCATCCTAATTGACAAAACCGATAATCCAAGTGTTCCAATGTCCAAAGCTAGAAACAAATCAATCAAGTGACAGGGAGCGCACAATGACAACAAAGTATGACGAGTCGACTATTTGCAACTGCAACTCCCCCGTTTTGAGGTGTCTCAGTAAGTGCAAGCGCAGGATGGTCGACAGGCTTTGTCGTATATCTGGTTATATAGTACGATATGGCATATTATTATGGTTACTAACAATATAAAATAAAGGTACTAAAAATGAATTTATTTAGCTACTTAAATATGCCCATGTGTCATATCTTTTTAATACCAGGATATATTTTACGGTGTTATATCTTTTGACTGCCAGGATATTTTTTTTCGGTGTCATAATAAAAAAGGCTAGTTTTTCATAGATCTTTCGATTCATACTAATTACATTGTTGGCGGAGCTGGGTGTGTTTTGCCCATTGTCCTTTGACTGTAGTTTAAATACTGTAGGAAACCTCGCACCTCAATTATCGGGCTTGCTCACCTAAACCGGTATTGTCTACACTAGCGAAAAAAAAATTTGCTCTTTCATTTTTCACATACTTGCATTCATCATCATATGCCTTTTGATATCCGCTCTGCTGTGCCACAGGCCGTCCCCATGGATGGCGTAGGGCGTATAGCCAATGCATGACCCACCACGTCAGTGCGCATACCGATGTGGGTGCTAACGATTGCAACCGGTGTCTACTATAGCGAAAAAAAAAGTTTGCTTTTTAATTTTGCACATGTTTGCATTCATCATCATCTGCCTATCCCCACTGCTGTGGCACAGGCCTTCCCCGTGGATGGCGTAGGGCGTATAGCTAATGCATGACCCACCAAGTCAGTGCGGATCGGTGGGTGCTAACGATTGCAAATTCAATTGGGATTAACGGCTTAATCTGTCTTCCGACGCACGGAGGAGCTCGAGATAAAAAGTTTTTGGTCACCCATCCAGTGACCAGCCCTTGCGAAAGTCGCTTTAATTCAACGATCGAAGACAGAATACGTTAACCACCTGCGCTATCGAGCTCCTCGCTTGCACGCTTGAATTATACCCTGTTATTATCTAAAAAAACTCATTATAAAGAAAGAGTTATTAAGCTAGCTGTTGTGCTTAACTATACACTATAATAGAGACTTAATATGCCAGCTATAGCCGGTGTCAAAATTTGTTAGTATGCGGTAGCAACGCAAGCTGTGTACTCTCTCAAGTTAAATACGACTTAGTGCAAGTTCTCGAGACATATCGAACTAGTCTAAGACGCCAGTTTTGGCTACGATACTGCTTGAATTTGCTTTGTCCTACCCACTTGCCCCAAAATTGTTGGAGAAGGTATGTACGACCGAGTAGTTAAGAGCAAACACAAACAACGGTACAGTCAACGTAACATGGAGCAAACAATAAGGTAAGTTTGGTGGGTTAACATAATGTTTAAATTATATCCAAATAAACTTCTGAGTTGAGTATCTAGGCTTTACACGTAGCGTATTTTAGAATTACTTTGAATAGACATCGGTCATTTTGCGCTGATTGAAGGCTATTGCCCTTTTCGATTCCAGGTTAAATGTTTAAGATTTGATCAGGTATCTACAAAGAGGTGTATCCAAAAAACTTAAACAAAATTAATTGTCCTTAAACAATTCTGATCGACCAATAATGGGATGTTAGATTTATATCTTTTGTTTTTAGAGATTCCCGTAGGAAAAAAGGACCTTTTTTAACTTCGCCATATACGTGCGTCCGTCCCATTATCCGCAGCTTAGCTTAAACACTGTTAATAGAAAGACAACAGGGATGGTGGACTGTCAGACATCGCAAAACAAATATATCGTGGCATTTTTTCAATTAATTATGGAGTGAAGAATTTCTGTCTCTCTCACTATCTTTCTACAATGGTTAAAGGCAGCGCAGTAAGTGTCACGTGGCGATACAGTGCAAATGTCGGGCTCTGCAGGTGACTAGTGTCGGACAGATGTAAGTACAGCAAAAAGCTTTGATTCTGTTATGCTGCATTTTCACATAATGCTCAGAAAAGTTCCAAGCGAAAAAAAAATGTTCGCTCTGTTACAGGAATGATCAAAATAATATTGCGTTGTTTCCATTGATAACTGAGCAACATCGTTCCCCGAGTCCAATCAAACATCATTGTATGAACTCGTTCGCTCGCTCTGATATTCCAATTACCAAGCGAACAAATGTTTGCTCCTTTAGAACTGTGCTGACCTGAAGTAGAAACGCAGATTAGATTTCACCTCCCAAAAACATTTATATTTTCATGGTGTTTCTTTGTTGTTACCTTAATAATAGATGTTTTTTTAGATAGTGTTCCTTAGATGGAAACGCATAATATTTAACAGGTTACATTTTTTTGTAAAGATGTCGGATCAAGGAGTGTAGAGAGCCTATCCTAGCCATCGCCTAGAGCGCTGTTTTAGTGGTACTTCAAAACTATGATTATCAAATAGAAAAGAGGCTTCAAGAAGTAGTAGAAGAAAGGAATTTAGAAATTTCGACTTTTCGTTTGACAAAGTGTTTAATTGTTATAAGTGTCACAAATGATCTGATCGAAATAAGATAAAAATTAATGAAATATTATTAGGATTTTATTACATCCACAAATGACGTCTGACAGACACCACAGGCCGATGTTGTGGTAAAATAAAATAATTGAAAAAGTTTTTTTCCTACATCTATACTACATTATTAATGTTAGAAAGCAGAAGAGTTTGTATGTCAGTTTATTTGAACACGCTTATCTCAAGCTGCGTACGGATAGCGCGTTCTAGGGAACACGTAGTTGACTAGGTACGCGTTTTTTGAAACGAGCTATCCAAACTCTTAACTACTCGTACAGGGTCCGCGTAGCCACAAGTATTTCTTAGGAACGCGTAGCCGACTACGCGTTCCGCGCGCTATCTGTACACAGTTTCAGGAACTACAGATTGGACTTTGTTTCTTTTTGTAATAGATAATCCATTTATCGAAAAAAGCTATGGGTATAATGGTCATGCTACGACCAATCGGAGCGGAACATCAGTGAAAATTGTTGCAATACCGGGGTAAATATTATTTTGAGAGCTTCCGTTGCGTGCGCTGCGTAAACGGTTAAAGTTACACAAAAATCATGTAGCACGGAGTTGTTCCCACTGAGAAGTTCTAAAAAGTTCTCGACAGCATAATAGCGACATTTTAAGATTGACTCAATATAACCAGCACAGCTATTATGTTATCACTTTAAAGCGAAAAGCTACCAATAATTAGGTCAAAACGTGTTTTCACCATAGATAAATATCCAACGATTGAGACCAATCATTTTAAAGGTTTTGAGTTATGGAGGTTGAAAGTTAAAAAATAAGAACTCATTTTTGGTATGAGGTTATTCTAATTATATGGTTTCACAATTTAGAAAATATTGAGATAAGCTTTTAGGTTAACAATGTTACATATAATGAATTACTAATAAATACAAACATTATAATCGAACCCAATACAAAGTACATATAGGATTTATTTGTTTCTGAGGTTTTCACGCACGTCACTCATTAAATGCACGAAACTTTATTTATTTATTGACGTTTCGCAGCCTTTTCAGGTCTGCATCGTAAGGAAGGTAGCTCGACAAAATTAAATAAAAAAATCAGTATTCTGACGATTCAGACCTGAGAAGGCTGCGAAACGTTAATAAATAAATAAAGTTTCGTGCATTAACCCGTAAAACTACTTTTATTTACATATAGGATTTTCATTCTATTGTCTTGCTATTTTTTATGATTATAGTAAAAGCTATTCAATAAAATAATATCAAGATGAGGAGAAAACATTATTTTTGTGTCAACGCAGTCTGAAAGGGATCCATGGCATAAATTTAACACGTAAAATTGAAATAAACGCGTTTTACGGCCCCTTCGAGGGCATTTTATTAAATTAACACTGTGCGAGGATGTTTCAGTAACAGTTATGAAGTTAATTAAAATTATTTTAATGTACGGTAATTGAACCTTATGGAAAAATAAACCCAACATAACTTCATAATAAATGCGCTAAATAAATAGATAAGTAGCAGTCCCTAGATGGGGTTTATGACAATTGGTGGACGTCTATTGCCTGATGACGATGAAGTTAAGGTTAATTGGAAATACTTTTTTAACAGCCGTTTGGCCAATACTAATTAGTCGATAAACGTCCGCTGGTAGACATAGGCCACCTCTAAGGACCCCTGCATTTTCCGCACCCAGTCAGCCCCCCTGACTCACGTCTTGATGTACTCAGTCCACCTGGTGAGGGGTCCACCGACACTCTGTGTCCCAGTCATCATCATCAGTCTAATAATGTTCCTAATGCTGGGGCACAGGCCTTTCCTATGGATGGAATAGGGATATTGAGCCATGACCCACCAAGCGGGCCCAGTGCGGATTGATGCCAATGACGGACCACTGTAAAAGTTACTTAACTATCTAATCGCAGCCGAAAGTGCTAACCACTTGCGCTATCGAGCTCCTTAGCCTCGCAAAGTCGCTATTGAAGTACCTTGCGTTCACAAAGCCCATTTTTCCACGGAAATTATGTGCCCCGCCCAAGTGACTTCGGTTTGGCGATCTGTTGAGCTGTGTCGATTGTACGTACGCGTGTTGATACTAGACTTAGCAAATCAGTTTATCATCACTTTAGAAAAGTTTACAGATATTCTCGCCTAATAAGGTGTCATCGGCAATTTATTTGCTTTTGAATAATCCAAGAGAGCGAGCAAGAGAGCTATTCAAATGACATTCAATAGGAGAGTGCACAAGTATTCCGGACTGGATCACCCTAAACCTTTAAATATCTTCAGTCAGGTAAGAGAGTCACAAGAGAAGCAAAGATTGATTTTGTGTAACTGATAAAATAATCCTCTAAAAAGAGACAGCTTGATGGCGTAGATGGTTAGCATGTTCACCCTGCGATTGTCGAAGTTAAGCAACTTTCACAGTCGTTGGTCATTGGATGGGTGACCAAATAAATTATTTCGAGCTCCTCCGTGCTTCCGAAGGCATGTTAAGCTGTTTGTCCCGGCTGCATCTGCAGTCGTTAACACCCACCAATCTGCAGAGGGCCCTGCGTGGTGGGTCACTACCTAATCTCCCTATGCCATCCATTGCGAAGGACTGAGCCGCAGAAATTTAACAATAAAATTTTGTGTCTTTGAGTTTCGCATTTAAATAAAAGCAGGTTCATGATCATTCCCGGCGGTCGAGGTGCGGCTGAAGCCTAGGGCGGAGGAGCTAGGCCTCACCCACGCCAATGTTGTGGAGATGGCGCGGGCGGCCATCGAATTGCCGTCCGTGGGTATAGAGGAGGGCCTGGTCATAAAGACCAGTCAAACTGGGTCCAGGCTACTAGTAGTCTCGGGCCCAGATAGCAGATCCAAGGCGGACACCCTAGCCAAAAGGATGGGCGAAGTAGTGGACTCTTACGCGGAGGTTGGCAGGCCCGAGAAAACCGAGGAGTTGAGGGTGACTGGACTGAACGAGTCAGTCACCCCAGAGGAGGTAGTGGAGGCGGTCGCCAAGAAGGGGGACTGCTCCACCAACGAGGGGACCGCGAAAGGAATGCACCCGGGACAGGGAGACACTGATTGACATTGGTCCGATGTCCCACATGGGCCGCTAAGAAATTGGCGGAAGGGGCCAAAATTAAGGTAGGGTGGAGCCTTGCCAAGGTGACGGTCATCAGCCGGCGCGCGCATTTCTTCAAGTGCATGGAGAGGGGGCACGCGGCAGCGTGTTGCCCGGCGAAAGAGGACCGGAGGAGGTGCTTCCGGTGCGGGGCAGCGGGGCACAAGGCGGCGACGTGTGCTGCCCCCACCAGATGTGTGGTGTGCGCGGCGAGTGGTCGGCCGGCAGACCACATAATGGGGAGCGGGAGGTGTGACCCGTCAGTTACAAAAGGGAAGCCTCCCGAACGTTTGGCCTCTGAGGTGGCGCCCGGACGGACGCCCTTGAGGGGGGGATGTCCGAGTAGCCTAGGCCGCTCGAACCTCCCAACTTAACCGCCCACTTCTTAACCGCCTTGTCTCACTCCACGATGCAACGGTATGGGACTTGTTTGCTGATTCTGTACTTGGACAGACATGGTGACGGCTTCGTAGAGACATCTTATCACTTGGATGTATCGCCAGTCGACTTGGCAACGCTGCAGGGACTCCAGGACAGACCAGATTTCAATCGAGTCAAAGGCCTTCTCATAGTCCACAAATGCTAGGCACAGGGGCTGATTGTACTCCTCAGTCTTCTGTATAATCTGCCGCACTGTGTGGATGTGCCCTATCCGCTCCGAAACCCAGCCTGTTCCGGTAGTTGGAAGTCAACAAATCTTTGCGCAAGACGGTTCGCGATCACTCTTGAGAACAGCTTATAGACGTGGCTTAGAAGGGATATGGGTCGATAGTTCTTAAGTAGGGTGTTGTCCCCCTTTTAAAAGAACAAGACGACCACACTCCTACTCCACGCCTCCGGAGTTCTCCCTTCGAACAGGACAGTGTTAAAAAGCTTTTGGAGCTGCCTCAGTACGGGTTTACCTCCAGCTTTCAAGAGTTCTTTTGTAACACCATCCTCTCCAGGGGCTTTTCCATTTTTAAGCTGTCCAAGAGCAATCTCGGTTTCGCCAATACTGACTTCTGGCAGGTCTTCGGTGAAGTGGCGTGTTAATGTGGCTCTAGAATCCTCATTTCCGGGATCGGGTCGAGATGCATGTGATGCGTATAACTGGCTGTAGAAGTCTTCCACTTCCGAAAGGACTGCCGGCTTTGAAGCAACAACTTCCCCACTTGCTGTGGTCAACTTCGTCAGATGGCTTCTTCCAAGAGACTGTACGAACACTTTGGACCCTCGATTCTGCTCGATCGCTCTCTCGATCGAGAGAGTATTGGAGCATCGGAGGTCGTGTCGTGCGTGCTTACTGATCTCTTGGCTTAGAGTCCGCTTTGCCGACGACGTGACGGGTGGGTTTTCACGTCGTTCCTTCACTAGCCCTAAAGTCTCTTCCGAAAGTTTTGACTTCCTGCCCTTACGCTGCGTTGCATATAATCTCGTACCCTCTTCTCTGAGGTGGTGAGGTGAAACCACATTTTCGAGGTTTTGGTTTACGTCTGATGTGGTTTCCATGGCAGCAAATCGGTTCTCCAGATTTGACTGGAACGTTTCAGATCCTGTTATAGATTGGAGCAAAGTAGGTTGGAGCCTAGATCTCATCAAACGGACGCGCTTGGCCTTAAAGTTGATATTCAGAGAGCCCCAGACGAGTCGGTGATCACTACCGGTATTGAACCTGTTGATCAAGGAGACGTCTCTGAATATGTAACTCTTGTCCGTCATGATGAAATCGATCTCATTTTTAGTCACAGTGTCGGGGCTTTGCCATGTCCACTTCCTTTGGGGCTGTTTCTTGAAAAAAGAGTTCATCAAGAAGAGAAGAGGAAGTTGACGAGCATTTGCCCCCTATGATTTCTGCTTCCAAATCCATGGGATCCTACTACCAATTCGCAGCAATTCTGTACTCCCACTTTAGCGTTGAAGTCCCCCATAACAACGTTGTAGTGGGTCTTAGTAGTGGAGTGGAGGGCCCTCGATATACCATCGAACATATCCTCCACTTCGTCGTCCGAGTGTGTCGAGGTCGGTGCGTACACTTGCACCACCTTGAGACTATACCTCTCGGTGAGCTTTATAATAAGGTACACTACCACAACGTTATCGGCAAGGGACTTATTTACCAAAAACCCAACTCCACCTTGGGACTGTTGGTCTCCCCCGCGGAAGTACATTAGGTGGCCCGATTCGAGGGTTATGGTGTCCTCCCCCTCTCTTCGGATTTCACTTAACCCTAAAATGTGCCACCTAATCTTTCCAAGGCCCACCTCGAGTTGCACCAGATGCGAGTCAAGCCGTAGCGTGCGTCCGTTGTACGTCGCCAGCGCCAGTCTTTTGTGGTGGCCTACCGCCCGGAGATTCTTGGCACCCCCCACCCCACCGTTACCGTGATCGCCACCGTGACCAGGAATAGCGGGGCTGCCGGGAACTGGGGGCCGTGGCTTGTGTTTCATGTGCATGAAGGTTTTGCCCATAATCGCCACGCTGGGCAGGCGGATTGGCGATCGCAGAGCGTAGGTTTATTTACTGATTACGCTGCTGCCCGTCACCAGTGAGATTTTCCTCCCCTACGTCGTTGGATGTTTATACCGCCATCGGTCAGTTTTCCAGAGCCTCGTCTGTTGGTCAACGGGGTGCACCACGTGAAGGTGAGGTTGGCTTGGGTTCTTGCAGGTGTATTTAGAACCCCTTACACCCCCATTTCTTATTGTGGGTATGCAATTGAGGCAACGCCATTATCAAAAAATATTTTTAAATAACTTTAGCTCTACTATAGCCTTAGCTTAAAACAAAAAGGGTAGATACGGCACTAGCCTCAAAAAAGTGATCCGCACAAATTATGGTCCACGACCCTAATCGCTTTAGTCACAACTTGACATGCAAACGACGTACATGTGAACGCCAAAAAGAAATATTGATAATATTTTGTGTTTATAAATGTAGTTCATAAAATACTTGAAGAAGATGCACGTAATTAAATGTGAATATATATCGTTTTAGAAATGTCATCATGTTACTATATGTTCATAAATCAACTGGCGGCAACAGCCTATCACTCGCGTTTCGTGCCTCAATAAGTATTTCCGGCGGAGTTGAATTAAAATTGCGCAAATATTATTATTTATTAATATGCGCTCACAGGTTCAATAACGGCACAGGAATATTTTAAATAAAAATAGAACCGATTTCAAAAATACTGAAAATATAAAATAATATTTACCGTGAAGTCGATCGTTATTATTATCATGATTTCCCTGTTAAACACATAACCTTATAACCTTGGTATCGACTTCAAGTATATCAGACGGTAAATCTATTTTTTTTAAGTCGGTTTTATTTTTATTAATAATTATTTCATTTTCCCATTTTTAGTGTTACACAGAATACGCTACTAGTTGGAAATAGTACAAGCGTAGATCCACGTGGGTAAAACCGTGAGACAATGCTAGTAAATTATATAGTAAAACTCAGAAATTGCGTATTTACGCATTAATATGCGCGGAAACCCCATCCAATTCGGATCCGTAGCTTTGAGATTATCATGGTCAAACATGCATACATACAGATCAAACTGAGAATATCCTTTTTTGAAGTCTGTTTAAAGACCGACTGTACAGCCGGAACAGCAGCAATATAAAAAATAGAATAAACTATAAGTATAAATAAATGTTTCTTAATATGTTAGTTAAGTTAATTTGTGTTTATAAATATAATATGAATTCTTTATTTGTCATCTTAAACCTTAAATAATTTAAATAATATAATGAAATTAAATAAAATACACAATAAGTATGGTAGTTAATATGCTGAATTGTGAAACTAAAAACTGTGTAAATAATAAGAGTCAGTTTACGAGCAAATGTGTTGAAAAAATTTTATTAAAAATAATAACAGAATATAGGAATAAAAGGTAGATTACAAAGATTAACGTTGAATAATGTATAACTAGGTTAAGTTTATTTGCAAGTTTAATAGTAAGTTTAAATAACATAGGTTCAATAATAAAACACACTAACAATAAATTCACATTATAAATAAAAATCTCAACCATAGGGACTTGATCATCATCGTTCATGTTATTTTATGTTGAAATTTTGAAATTTTACTATACTTATTGATGTTATGTGATCCCAGTGTCCGTGTTATTTATTGTTGTATTATTTTACTACATAAACTGGCATTTTACTTTCGATTAACACCAAATTTTAATAAAACATTCACTACGTACACCCCATACACAAGTGTCAGGTTTACTGGCTCGGTGAAAGCTCGGGTATGCCGATTTCGGCATATTATTTGTTGCCGCATGAGACAAGTACGCCGGCGGTATCTAGTCGAGTGAAGCGAGACAAATCATTTATCTATGGCCTAAGTATGTTTTTAAAAAGTGCTCAAATTGCTCAAGAACTAAAAATAAAACCCACGGCGTCACTTTTCATTCGTAAGTACTATAGAATATATTTTTTTATAAAAATTGCTGTTTGTTTTCAATTTTATTCGGTAGTGACGTCGAGTACTGGTCGCGTGATTGGTCGGTAGTGCAGTGACGCGGATCGCGCCGTCTCGTTCGTGCTGCCGTTGAAACTAAACGTGCTGTTTCGCTCAGGTCGGTAATGCAGTGCCGCGTATCTCGCCGTCCCGTTCGCGCTGCCGTGGGATCAGTTTTTGTTTGATGCAAGTATGAGCGTACCGTATCTACCCCTTTTTGTTTTAATCTAAGACTATAGCAAGTGTTTAAAATAATCTGTAAATTATGAAATTAAAATTAATTTCGGATAAACACAGAATTACAAAAGTAGAACTATTTAATCGAAAACAATCCCATTATGTATTATCCGATTTCAGAACTCCCAATAAAATGACATCAAATTATAGTCCAGATTTCGGGTCCCCCGAACAGATAGCTTACTAGCACCGTAAAATGTGACGCTTGGCCTTTCACAATCGGCCGAGTCAATCGACTGGAATTAATCGATGAATCGCAATCGTGA